TTGATGCTGGCGGAGGCACAGGCGGCCGGGGGGCGCTTCAGCCCACTCTCCCAGGCACAGGACACAGGCAGGGTGCCGACGTCCTGCTCCACCACTTCGGCCGGGAAGTCGTGGTTCTGGATCTGCTGCATCAGTTGCCATGTTGGCCCCGACATCACATAGTAGATAGTCAGCCTCTGGAACCCGTTGAAAGTAGAAGCAGCAGCAACCGTGTAAGCACCCATGTTTTCAAAGACCATCCAGTCGCCCACGTGCATCTCGGGCAAGTCGCAGCGCTCGACAATGCGATCCAGGCCGTCACATGTTGGTCCCCATATGCTGGTTGAATAGTACTTCTCATCTGGTTTGGGTCTCTTCTGCAGAAGGGGCTTCACGTGGGCATGATCATAGAGGATGCAATTAAATGATCCATACACTCCGTCGTTCACGTAATACATAAAGGTTTGTTCACTCAACTCATCTTCATCATCAGAACCTGTCTGTTCCTTTAATACGAGTTTTTTGGCAATGATGTTCACTGTGAGCGTGAAGGCTGAGGCAACATAGTATCTGCTGGGCTCCACTATGATTCGCACCCCTGAGTTGGCCAGGAAGTACTTGTCCAGGGCTGGGTTGATCACACTGGTGATCTCTTCAAATTTAAGCTTCACATCCTCAGATCCAGGAAAACCACCACTGATATCAAGCAGATACATGCTGAAACCAACCTGAGCTCCCATGTCAAAGACACAGCGGGCATCAGAGATGGCTTGCACAAAGGTCTCAGGATCCGTGCAGCCACTTCCCATGTGGAAGCTGACACCAATGACAACAATATTTGGCTCTCTCGCTCGTTCCAAAAGAAGCCTGCTGATTTTGAGTGTGGCACCAAATTTAACACTGAGGCGACAGACTGCTTTGGAATCATCGGTGGCAATCCGCAAAACCAACTTGGCCTTTGGATGCGCCCTGGCAACTTTCATCAGTTCAACTTCACTATCAAAAGTCATCATCTGGACTCCGTTATTGGCAGCGTACTTAATCTGAGACACTTGTTTGCAAGGATTTGCATAGATAATCCTCTCTGGAGGCACCCCAAGACTTTGTACCAATTGTATCTCAGTCTTGCTGGCACAGTCAAATCCTGTCCCAGTGGTAGCAAGGGTCTTCACTATGGTTCTGCTATCATTGCATTTGACTGCATAAAAGGGGGTGACCCAAGGAAGAGCTTTTAACCATCTCAGATGTTTCTTTAAAATGTCTCCCCGGTCGGCGACATAGAAGGCATCCTTATCATCAGAAGACGAAACTTCATTAATTTTTTGGTCCAGAATATCCTTGGCAGTAAAGCCTTCATTGAGGAAATGGGAGTCTAAATCTGCATTACTAAAGCTGTTCGTGGTTTCTTGAAGTTCCTCTGAAATGTAACAAAATGGAAAACTAAGAGATGGAATTTAGAGAAATTATTGCCAGTTTCTCACAAAGGCAATTCTCTGGAATTCCAAGTCCCGCTGAAGATGCGTGTGCCCTCAGGTGCAGCAGTGGAAATGTTCTGATAAACAGAATTTGCTGGTCCACCTTAGAGCGCACGGGTGCCCTGGGCCAGTCCCATGGAGATACCACCCCCGAGCGCGCAGGACCGCCGGCCGCCCCGCCA